CAGACAACCCCTCGTCAATATGCGTTTTTTGCATTGCATTACTGCAAAAAACGCATAAAAAGGAAGCTGAAAACATCATAAAATGCTGATTAAGTATATCAATCGGCCTTCAAAGTTCGCTGCATTTGTAGCCTCAACACTATACCACAGCTCAAAAGGGAACTTGTAAAAATCCTCAAAACCCTCGATTTTTTTGCACCGTTTTGCACTTGTGTTAATCAAAAATTGTTTTAAGAGCAGTAAAGTGGCTGCAGAGAGCAGAAAAGTTCACTACGCAGATATGATGAAGCTCCCAGAAAAAGCATGAACATTTTTTTTGCGCACAGAAAATTCGAAGTTCAACCGAATGAATCAGCTCAACAATAACCCCGCTTCGGCAGTAAGGCGAAGTAATGCGCCTGGAAGCTTTCCAGTTATTATCCGCTGGCGTATTCTACTTCGATTATGAGACATACATCTCTCTTCGTTCAGAGGTGGGCTTTTCCGCTGCATCGTTGTAACCGCGGCACAAAAACCTTGCACTTTGATTTTCTGTGGGGTACCTTCACACCATCATTGCTCTTACAGAAAAGCATCACCAGATGGGCAATATGGTGGTGAAAAAAGCCTTAAGCTTATTCCTCCATTCTAGATCCATCTCATATAAACAATCATTTTCGCATTTTCTCACGTATATCAAATATCTTGCTTCAGCAAATTATGGAAAATAAACTTGCAGCTGCTGTTTGCAGGAAAACTGCTGGCCAGTGACTTCATCGAAACACACCAAATGCACGCTCTCCGTTGTTGCAAGATTCTCAACACAGCGTAGCGAACGCGTAAACGCCTATATATAAAAAGATTTAAGGAGAAAAACAGCGCTTCGCAAAGGATCACTTCATTCATGGCACTTCTGTGACAAGCAGCACGAGTGCGACATCGATGAGAAGCCATAAGTTAGAAAATGGGAAATACTCGGATATGCAACGATTATAATGAAGCAAATTGGAAATTCTGCCTAGTGCATCGATGTTGGAAACGGAATGGGCAACAACCAGTTATCAGCTGTTCAGAAAGCCAAGGTATGGCAAAACAAATGGATTGGTCAGAGCATAGGCTATTTGTAAACCTCTGATCCGTGGTATGTTCATGGAACCAACAAGTTGCATAACTTGTAATACTTGAGTTTAAGCGCAAAACATTTTGGCTTTTACAAACATTATAATTCGAAATCGCAAGTTTTCGTTGTACTCAATCTTGGACGTACGGCTGAGATTAGGGCATGAAACACTGGAAGCAAAATTTATGTTAGATTGCGTTTGAAAGCTGTCTCATGACTAGCACTTCGCACCTTGCGGTGATACAGAGTTCAAGTATCCCACTTTCCAATTTTTATCTATGTTGGATAAAATCCGAATTGCAGTTCGAGTCATAGGCCATGGTACAGTGAAGGCAAGTTCAAGCAATGCAACTTGTACTTCGCGGGAAATTAAATCCTTGCAAAACTGAATTTTCAGCGTTATTTACTATTCATTTATATGAGTTAGCTGCATTATATGGTCTTGTAAAAGGCACAGAGTGGCCTAAAGTTCAACCTAATGTTTGCAACGTGCTGAACATGATCAGGAACAATTGCAACTTTAGCTGTGAATGGAGGAAAGCAACTATGGAGGAGAAGGGAAGGAAGATGAGGAGGAAGGTTGTGGAGCTAAGGATATAAGTGACAAGGGACCTGCGGAATGTATGAGTCACAAATTTTGCAATTTCCTAGCTTGCGCATTCCGTATGGTGCACTATCCGACATATAAGCACCTACAAAAGTAGGAGCATACGCTTAATTTTGCTATACCAAATTTTTTTTTGATTCGTAAACAGCCGAAAAATCTTTGAATTGTTACTTTGATCGGATAACGAAGACTGCGCATGGCTTCTTTAAATACAACCTTGCTGCTCCTGCTCCTATTCCTACTCCTGTTGTTGTTGTTTTTGTTGTTGTTGTTGTCGTTGTTGT